ACATTTTATGAAATGGCTAGCCGCATCATGTTTTGGTCAATTCCACGATCTGGCCATGACATATATACTTGGAGACCCATACTAAGGTGCTTACATAATATGAATGAACAAATGTAATAAAATAGGATTTGTGAAAATTATCAACTTGAAAATCTTAGGTTAAGACCTAGCAATACTTATCCTCAATAAATGAATTATTGATGAAATGAAAAACACAAATAATTGCAATTTCTTTAATCTAAATTTGGAACATTTTAATGTTTTTGATTTAAAGCCTGCGCAAAGTTCTTTGACTCGCCATCAGCTGGCTGAAAAGTTATTTAGGCAAAAAATCTGCGATTTAGATTTCATTGAACGCCATCTAGTGTAGTTCATAAATATATAATATAAAAATAATTTTTCTTACATAAACAAAATTACTTGAATTTAAACATTTTAATCCAATAAAATTTTAAAAATGTAATATTTACTCAATTACCAGTTTTCTTCACTATACAATAAAATATTTTGTAAATAATATTAGGTAAATTTATTACAATGACAAATCAGATTGAAAACAATGGTTGCTATGGTAACATTTTGATTCCCCATAAAGTCTTTCACTCCCATTTTTATACCTTTAAATGCTAGTTTTCGGGATAAAATTTAACCTATTACCTTCCTATAGTTATAAACTACCAAAATACAAATCTTTATCAACATAGGTCTAAAAACAAAGAACCCTTTCTTCACCCTTTATGACCCCGTTCGGGATGGAATTTTCAAAAATCCGTTCTTAGTACACCTCTACGTATTAAGGGGAATGTGCCCTCCAAATTTCAAGTTTCTACGACCAGCGGTTTAGGCTGTGCGTTGTCTGTCAGTCAGTAAGTCAGTACATCTCCTTTTATATATGTATAGATAAGGAAACTTAGCTGCTCAGATTGCACAATTATGAAATACGGCGACTGAGCAGATCCAGCTTTCAAGGGCAATTCTCATCACCATTTCTGTGTAGATGTTTAGGACGGGTGAGATTATACAACCTTGTTGGACTCCCGCACAGGGTGGCAATGACTTTACAATACTTCTATATAATTTTACAATACTATAGATACCGTTCATGTGCCCTGACCGATGCTGCTTCGCCTTTATATAGATATCTAAGTAAGCGCACCAGGTGTTTTGATGTTTCTAAGTTCAGAAAAGTTCTCCACACCAACGTCCATTTCAAATGTCTTAGAGAAATTAACAATATAAAAGTGTTTACACCATAATAAAAGTGTTTACAACTATTGTTTATATTATATCGATTGAAAACTAGGTATCCCTATGTCCAATGACCTAACTTACCAGAGCTATATTTTCTGAATATAACTTAAGAATAACTTATATCTCTGAGAACAACTTATTCAATATATAGTCACCAAAGTATTTTCGATTTTTCAACATAATATTGTTACTGTATTACTTTATCACCACAAATACACATTTACGAATGCTAAGACGTATTTAATGTCACTATTTTATGACCAAGGTAGTAGAACTTTCGAAGTAAAGATACACAACATAATAAAATTAACTTAAAAGCTCGAACGTGCGTAGTGAAATATATTGTTGCTAAGGGGTGTCTCTGTAAGAGTATACTTTTACATTTAAAAATAAAAAAATCTAAAACCAAAACCCGATTACAGCGAAGGCATGCTCTAAAAAGTTCGAAACAAGTAATTTATTTTATAGCGATAGGTATATTATAATAACGATGACCAAAGGACAAAGTAGTCGTATGCCACTGATCATAACAAAACAATCCGTCTTGGTATTATCACTATAAAATAAATTTATTGTTTGATATGGACGTAATTTCAAGTTCTATCACATTTACAATTTATTATATAAATTAACAATAATATTCTATGAAATGACTAAACCGATGACATCACATATAAAATGTCATATTTGAATGTCTAAAATAGTAAATAATTTGTTTATAATAAAGTACCTATTATTCTTATAATGTTAATAAAACTCTGCCTAGGATTAGAGTGTCGTAAGCGCAATCGCTGATCAAACATGCGCCGCCGTACAGGTAGAGCTTTATTGAATGTTGCCTGATCTCTACACACCGTTTCACGAAAGAGTTCTCTTGGCATAACTCTTAATCCTTTGCATTAAAAGCGCACAGTTTGTAATTAAAAACTGAGACCGTTGCCGAAATTCGGTTTCGGTTTCGGTAAGAAAAACCAGTTTCGGTCGGACGCTACAGCTCAGTAAAGTTCTAAAAAACGATAGCAGACATCTTTCTTGCTTTCAGTAACACACAAACAAACCGACACTACGTACACCAGTGCACCACTCGCACGGCTTAGAGGAGACTGCAGATTAAAATATTTTAATGTTAAGTATAATATCAGGTATTTTTTTTAATTACCCTTCTTTACATGTTTGATAAATAGCCATATTATTTGTGAATTAGTATATATTAAGACGAAAGATGTCTTAAATTTCTAACCTATGTGACCTACAGAACCAAAATAACTTCTATGTTTATCATTTTATGTTGTTATTTACTGATCGTAATCGCAGACAGATACATTGCTTATTCTACTTTCGAAAGATGGCGCTGTAGCCGTCTGAATCGGTGTATCTTGTCTTTGTATAATCGTATTAGTAGTTTTTATTATGTAAGAATTTATAATAGAAATTTAAGTTTCACCCGCTGTCGTTATGGATGTGTACGTTAGTTTTCTTTATTGGATCACACGTACCATTGTGTCCAATCGCAGATTTGCAATTTTTTATTATCTGTTTGGTCGATCCTGCGACTGAATTAAAGAGGAGTTTTTGAGATTTGTATCAAAACATCCCGCTATGGTATATACTCGTTACATTTCTAATCCTATCAACAAACGTCGGTGTTCCTAGTGGGTTGGCTTGGTTGACATTTGTTCAGCTGTATTATATAATGTTGCGTTCACTTGGCTGATTGAAAGTCAGTCTGTTAATTGAATAGCACTATTCAATAGAAAAAAAAGCTGGCTGCCTAATTGGTCGTCTGATTATACCACTTTACTACGACATTTCTATTTCAAAAAGCTAAGGTCAATTAACGTTATAACTTCTGAGTTACATAATATTTTGTAATATCACCTGGTGTTTATAATCTTATCACACTATAATAATTAAATATGTAATAATTAAATCATAAATAGTGATAAAACTAGTAACAAACAGTATTACCGCAGAGGCCGACGCGAATGGGCGTGCGTGTAAAGTGCAATTTATAAAAAAATAAAGGAAATGATTAAGAATCCTAAATACGTGTACGGTCCGGCGGAGGTTATGCTGCCGGGTTGCTTGCAGTTCGGAGAATTCGTACTCCAACGAATGATGGCATTCAAAGAGAAAATTGCATTGGTAAATTTAATTTAATTCTAGTAAATCACAAACGACATCTTTTAATTATCTTTTAAGCTATTTAGGCCTATGTTATTTTCTGATGATGCTGTTTTGTATTGGTATAAGAATAAAATAGGTTATTAGACCTGACTTTTTGTCTCGGTCTGATTCCTTTTAAGTTTATCCAATACAAACAAATAAACAAAGCAATAACTCATACCTTTCCACCCTACTCAAACTGTAGAATGTAACTTTTGTGTAATATAGACTAACAGCTCGTCTACTTTTAAGTAGAATGAATGGTTTCGGATAAAACACTTAAAAGTACATATATTTTCTCGAAATGATAAGATTTCAAATTTCATGTCCTTCAATTTTATTTCAAGCTGTTATATGTATTCAAATATAAATGAAGAGAATTTACTATACTCGTATTATGTATAGTAACATAAATTAATGTCATACTAGGTGTTTTACCGCTTCTTTTCCTGCGTAAATTATAGCCTATGTCACATGCGTGTGTATGATGTAGCTTTGTATAGCTCAAAGAATTTTCATGATCGAATCAAGAAAAAAAAGGTAGATATTTTACCTCTTTAAAATATTACTATTTAGATTACTTCATGATATCTAAATCAACTTCATAAAAGTTTGAAAAGATAATATAATTACTTACTTATTATTCGAATGCTAAGGCATCGAGATTTCACTGTAATAACATACCTATGGAAAAGTTGTTCGTAATATATTTTAGTAAAAGGAAATTCAGAATTTCTTGTAGATATACCGAATTCATGATGATTTATCATTGAAGAAGTTGGTGTAAGTATATCTATAAATAAAGTTAAAACCTCTTTTAGTATAATGTATTTTTTTGGATCTATCCGCGTGAGGTGAACCGCAATGGGTTATACTAGGTAGTCCTTCCACATTAACCTGCCCATTTCAGGACGGAGTGGAAGGCGAGCCCTGGTTTATGGTGCATTTCCCCTGCGTCATGTAAAAAAAGGTGAAGTTCCCAGGATTCCTGGGTATTCCTGGGACTTATAGAATAGGTATTTAAAAATCTCCTTGCCGAATGCAGACATTTCTCTGATTTGCATCAACCCTTTAATGCTTAAACCAAATTGAAAGGACTGTGGTTCATTTGATCGCGGAGAAAGGGGGTCGAAGGAACTAATCTGTTTGACGTTAAATATATTTTTATTCTGAATTATAGCGAACATGAACATTTATTTGGCATTGTGTACATAGATGTAAATGACTGATAATAATATACGTATAAGTGCTATGATAAATAGCAAACTATTCAAATTGATAACGTTTTCTAACATTGTTACTTATGTAATAATATACAAATACCCAGATATGATATCTGTTTTATTAATTCAACAACATTTGCTAACTCTGCTCGTTATTAAATAATTGCACACTTATTACACTAGTTACTGCGCCCTTCTCTAGTCTCTAATCAGGGGCAGCTGGCCGGTTCGCGCACCGGCCGGCATTGCACGCTCTTGCCTCGTCGTGGGGGTGCGTCTCGAATATCTCTGAGACGTACTCCCAACCCGCTGTGGGACCTGCCCTTTTCAGGGCGGGCCGAAATGGGGGCGAACGGCGCGGTGTATGGCCTTCGGGCCGATCCCGCGCATCGCCTTCCATGCGAGGGACATTATATTTTTAGACGCCACTGATTTTTACAGATAAACGTCGCCACCGATGAAAGAACTTCTTATGGAGAATTATGTCAACAGTCGATGAATTTCGCTATATCTCTAGCACACATTGGTTTTAAAAAGGGACAAACTGTAGCTATATGCTCAGAAAACAGATCGGAGTTTCTCAAAGTTATTGTTGGAGTAGCCTGTGCTGGTGGAGTTATCACAACTATTAACCCAGCATACGTGGAAGGTAAAATAGTGTATTTCAAATACGGCACGTTTATTTATTTATATAACTAATAAAAACGTACCTTCACATAAAGGCATGTATTCACGTTGTGATGCTGCTCGTTTGAGTAGTAATCGAGAGAGAGAATGCGCTTAATTAGAACTATCAACACGATTAAAACCATCTTTTATGTCGTGAAAGTTGTGTCTCAGGTAGCTCAATAGTTAGAGCAGTCGCCCGGATTGCGAAAGATTATGGGTTCGAATCCCATCTCCTGGTACCTACTGTTCATTCTCAAATTCAAATTATTCATTCATTCGAGATCCATTTAATTAATCTACACAGGACTAAATTATTGTGCACATGAAATCATTTGTGTTTGTGTCTTGATACTATCATGTGGATATAACAAATCCAAGTTTCACGCCCATTTACCGCTAACTAATTGCTAAATCTGCTAATGATTAATTCGAAGGACCAATACGAATGCAAATGATGTAAGTAAGCATTTAACAAAAAAGTTAACATTTATTTTTCAGCTGAAATGCATCACGTGATGAAAATATCTAAACCAAAATACATAGTGTGCTCACCAGACGCTTATAAACAACACGCCAAAACGTTCAAAAGCTTACAGCATGTACACAAAATAATATTATTTGGTAACGTTAAAGTAGCTGGCACTTTATCGTATAACGATTTAACGATACCGGCCAATAACTTTAAAAAGGGTGATGATATATTTAATGGTCAACTTATGAGGAATGTGGATTATGAAGAATTTAAAGCTGTGGACGTGAAGGGACAGACAGACACACTTATAATATTATATTCTTCTGGTACAACTGGAATGCCTAAGGGAGTGATGCTAACACATCTTAATGTCTTGACCGTATGCTGTTTGTGAGTTTGTTTCTAATAGGTAATTCTAAAGGCGTGTATCCACATCGCCAAGCTGCCTCGCGGTGTGGAGACATTTTCGCCTCGCGAATGCCTTTCGACTACTGCTCAAATGAGCTGACATACAATGTGGATACACACCTTTATGTTTTTATTGTGCAACGTCTTATAACTCTGTATATCTGTGGTAATACAAACTTGATGCTTGGATGAATCACAAACTGCATGATTTAAAGTGCTATCTTTGGGGATTCGTTCCTCGTTGTATGAATCCAGAGAATATTGGGAGAGAATCTGTAGTCTCCTTAGTCTGTACTGATTTTTATTTAATTTCTATATATTGAAGAAAATATATAAGTATATTTCCAATTAATTTCAAATAAAGAATCAGAACTATCAGAATCATAAATCTTAGATTCAGATAATCCACAAAACAATAGGTTTTAGTTATATAAATGGTCTTTCACGATGATTTTTTAAGTAAATTGATGTAAAACGTGTCGACGATCATTTTCAGTGTAGGGCAGCTTGAAGCCATCACCTCATTAGAAATCACTCCATGGTTCCACACCATGGGATTGATGGGTGCTTTAAGAGGACTGTCTTCGACCAAGACTATTTTATTTCTCCCAAAGTTCGAGGTTGACCTGTATCTAAGAACTATCGAAAAATTCAAGGTAAGTAAACAAAAAAAAAAAGTTTATTTTAAATACTTACCATACAACAGGCAGCAGCTAGTGATTTTTATGAGCTTTCATAAGTTTTCTTTGTCAAATAAGTTTCTTTTTTAAACATTGATACACGTTTCTTACAAAAACCAATAAGTACTTATGTAAGAAAAACCTGCTTTAACCTTGATATCTTTCTATTTATAAAATTACAGCTGTTTTCCCGCGACTTCGCTCACGTAAATCCTATCTGTATTATAATATATCTTCCCGTCGGTGAAAGAATATTTAAAACCAGGTCCAGTTCATAATTACCGAGCCTATTTAATGAACACAAAAAAAATATTTCCTCTTTACAATAGATAATTTGAAGAGAATTTGCCAAATAACAAATTACTTAAACGAAATCATATTTTTGTCGGAAAAAGTAAACAAAATAGCGATTTGCTTTCCTTTGATTATATGTAAACATTTTTTTAAAGGTAGTTGTCATGACAGTTGTGCCCCCAGTCCTAGTCGCACTCTTCAAAGCACCAAAGAAATACGACCTCAGCTCAGTCAAGTTCATATATTCTGGCGCTGCACCACTCCATAAAGAGACTGCTGACCTTGTAAATAAAACGTAATATTTCTATAAAATTAATCTAAACTAATTTTACATTTCACAATGTCATATTGATATATTTTATAAAGAAATAAGTAGGGTGGGTGCATCAGTAGCAACCGATTAAGCAATATTTAGAAACTTATTTTGATATTGTAACTTAATTATTGCAACAACCATTGCGAAAAAAGTAATTGTTCTCCCTGCTTAGCATATAATCATATCAACATAACATCCTGTAACAGTCCACTGCAGGAATAAGGGTCTTCTCCATGTTTGTGAAAGATTTTGCCATAATCTCCACACTTAACAGGTTTATTGCAGATCGCAGTACCAAAATTTAACAGAGATAGCAAATACCCATTTAATTAACAAATTTTCCTAATTGCCATTAAGTTTTGTACCTTAGATTGACCATTGACATGTAGTTATACCCTTTTTAGTTATGATCACATGGTTGGTAGTAAAATGGCAAATGCTAGCAAACGTGGTACTGGACTGGCGCACCCACCCTATTTGAAAAAATTGTATGGTTATGGGTTCGGATTCCATCTCGGGCTCTTGAGACTGTAAACATTTTTTAGTTATTTTTCTATGAGATAAACGCGTTATATTGCTATTAATTTTGTCTTAAATGGGCCGAACGATATAACTTAAATATAAACAATAAATAATAACTGAAATATCTTAATTTTATTTGAAAAGCCAACAACAATTGTAGATTGAGTTCTGTAGTGTGTGTAGGTTTGGCTACAGAAACGCGCACTCCACTTGCTGGCGCTGTCGGCTAATGTAAATTTGCTATGATTGTAGGTTCCCTAATACAAATGTTGTATTACAAGGATACGGTATGACTGAATCAACATTGGCTGTGTTAAAGGGAACTCCTGACGGCTTACAGAAGCCAGGCAGCGTAGGCGTGGTTGCTCCCGGGATCACTATCAAGGTAAACACAGATTAATCGTTTTCAAAGAAAGAAAACTAATCAACTAATAAATGTGATAGTTAGGTATTCAGGAAAAACGCGATTATTTTGTTTAATTGCTCAATCAATTCACATTTATTGGCCGTTATCATTGTCGGATTATCAAGCATGTATTATGTAATACTTTAGAATTGTTGGTTTACCTACACGAACCAAGCATAGCAAATTGCGTAGGTCAAAGTATATAATTATTATTATCCTTTTAATATGTTAGATGATTTAGTGGTTGAAGTGAAGCTCTAACAAGTCTTATTTGTACAAGGGAAAAAGAGTTTTCATAGGAGTTTTTCTTACGTAGAAGGGGAGGAGATCAAAAACTAGATAAAATCGTCTAACGCAGGGGGTGGGCTACCTGCGGCTCTTTCGATGTAAATTCGCAGCTCTCAAATTACATTTACAAAAGATAATAAACACGACTGCAAAAATCGAGGTAAAAATAAAAAAAAAACAAGTTGTATGATGGCAAAATAAAATTCTGATTGCAGTTTGCAGGGAACTCTTAAATTACAAATGTTCCACATAATAATTCCCCGACTGTAATGGGTTATAATATTAATTAGTTATTTGTCTAAATTCAACTTTTTAAACATATTACAGGTAGTGGATGTTGAAACCAGACAACCATTAGGCCCCAACCAGACAGGGGAACTCTGTATTAAGGGTCCTTTAATTATGAAAGGCTACGTGGGAATAGATAACAAAGAGGTCTTCGACAGTGAGGGTTTCTTTCCTTCTGGAGATATTGGATATTATGATGATGACAAATACTTTTTCATTGTCGATAGACTTAAAGAGTTGATAAAATATAAAGGATTTCAGGTATTGTTTCATTAATTTTTACAACTTTTTAGGGTTCCGTATCCAAAGAATGAAATTATTACTAAGACTCCGCTGTCCGTCTGTCTGTCTACTCCATGGTCTGAATGTTCGTTCGTTACCAGGCTGTTTCTCATGACCCGTGATAGTTAAGATAGTTGAAAATATTTCAGTTGCCGCTATAACAACATGATATAAATACTTAAGATAACTCCCATAGAACTAACTTGATTATCGTCAATAATATATGTATGTATTATATTTTAGAAACCCATCTTATTATTTGATAACTAGCTGTTTTCGCTAGTTATCGCCTTTGCCTGCTTAAATTATAGGCAATGTCACCCGCCTATGATGTATCTTCTCGTAGATGAAGTATTTTTTAAAATGTGTCGGGTAGTTTCTCAGCCTATTTAATTTAAACAAAACAATCAAATTTTACCTTTTTATAACATACATATGAAAGTATATAAAACTACATGGAAGTTATACCTTTGACTTTGGACTTTATTCCACGGTATATCTTTTTAAATTAGCGTTCAAAATCACAATGCTTTTTTATGTTTAAATGCGTCTATTAAATAGTAAAGTTTTATTAATAAGAATTCCTCACCAGGTGGCGCCAGCAGAGTTAGAAGGATTACTGTTAAAACACGAGGCGGTAAGAGACGCGGGCGTGGTAGGAGTGTACGATAAAGCAGCTGGGGAAGTACCACTAGCATTTGTCGTTACCCAACCGGACAAAAAAGTGACGGAAAAGAAACTTCAACAGTACGTCGCTGAAAGGGTAAGTGCAAAACAACACGCGGAATACAAATAGAGAACAAACTTTTAATTCCATTCGAAACATAGAGGTATTATGGATAGAAGAGAGAAACTAACACTCCAGCGGCCACTTAGAAAGAAAATTTGTGAGTGAGGACAGCAGCTCCTCTCTTCGAATTTAAACGGATGAATGAATTCTTGATCCATCTTAACCTTTACCAAATAGCTAAAAAATAATTTGTGATCCAGCGTAGTCGAAATCTGGCCTTAGTGTACTCTATTTATAATACCTCTATGGTTTCTTTTCTCAGTTAGTGGCAGAATGATGGTCCAGATTATTTGATTGTAATGTTTGAATTCTCTTTGGTTTTATCTTTTAGTTGTCAAATCCTAAACATCTGAGAGGTGGCGTACGTTTCATCAGCGAGATACCAAAAAATCCTAGCGGTAAAATTATAAGGAGGCAGCTAAGGAAAATGGCGAAGGAAGTCAGAAGCAAGATTTAAAATACAATAAGTATCTTAAAAAAATGAAGAGACGATATCGACTTCTTATATAAACCTCCTAATATAGTGCCGTAGGTTTTGATCAGCGAGTTTTTTATTAAAACCTTTCTATTGTTTTTAATAATAATAATACACTATTGTACAATATAACACAGATTACAATAAGAAGAAACAGAACACAAATGGCAGCTCTATTGCTATGCAGCAATGTCTTCCAAGCCACCAATGGTGACAAAAATCATGTAATGGATAGTGGGTGCAATATTAGCAAGGATAAAAAAATAAATAGCGAATATAATTTGTAATATATATACTAAGATGATTAAATAAAGACTTAATGTTTTATAGCAGGTAAATATATATATTTAACAAACATAGTTGTTTTCGTGATCTAAACTTTTAATGAATTATTTAATTGATATGCTTTATTACACTAATAAACACACATCAAATAAATAAAAATACAAATATATAAGGTAAAGGCGGCCTCATTGCTAAGGTAGCAATTTTAACGTTGACTAATGGAAACTATACCAAACAAGGAACTGTTAGTGCATTAAATAAATAATAAATATACTTTATAAGGAAATTATTAGATTTTTCTCAAAAATATATGTTTTTCTGAAAAGCATCTCATTTACTTTTATCTATGGGTATAAAATGCGGGTGTATTCTAAAAGACCAATGAAAGTATGCCTTTATGATATTGGCTAATATTTGCAATTTTTACTGCTCGAAGGACCACAAATTTCCATACAACTGCATAAACTATTATGAAAAGTCGAGTTCATGATTAATTTCAAGCACAAATGGCTGCTCCTTTTTAGGATTTCATAAAATTGAATTATATTTAATGGTTTGTAGACATATCGCCCACATGTGTGTGATATTTTTATACATACCTTAGATAAGTAATATTATATTAAATACATATTCATCGTTTACTTTTGCATTTTTCTATATATTGAAGAAAATGATTATCTATTCTGCAGCTTCTTCAAACTGCTTAGATATTATAAAATAAATTACTTAAGTTCTGAGAGTTTGTCAGATCAGGTAACAAGTAAAAACCAATCGATACTGAGCCTTAAGGTATTGATAGTTAAATTTAATATTGATAGTAAAAGAAATACTATAGTGCTAACATTCCTAGCGGTAACGCGGGCAGCAATTTTGCCACGATAGGAAAGCTATCAGTTCACGCGACGACGCCATAGAAATTATACGGCCGGTTCCTTTCCGCACAAATATTATTACTTTTTATAAAATTATCTCAAAAATATTTAATTGGAAGGTAACTGTATTGAAAGTTTAGTAAAGTGATTGTTTTACGAACTCCATCTTTCAACTCGAACTCCTACAATACCTATTTTTTTACAATCAATATAAAACCTTTTTTAATAACTCTCACGTGTGGGATGGGGATCCAGGATTCCGCAAGGAGACCTCCGGGACCTCTTTTGTAGTAACTGATATGCTGCTTTGTTTATTTTGCTCTTAATATTAAATAAAACTTCTATTTACAATAATGTAATATTGTTATATTTTATTTATTATCGTATATATAACGCGATCATGCCAAATAGCTGTAGGTGTCTTTCTCTCCCTCAGTGCGCTCCAGATACTCCTTCTCGATCAGGATATCGATGCATTTCTACAAATAAAATAAAAAAAACATTTTTTCAGAGGAATCTTAATAAAGTAAGTGTCCATTTAAAATACTGTCTCATCATTATATTGGATCAACTTTACATTCACTATGTTATATTGATAAATATCTTTGCGGGAAATGAGAATTTGCAAAAGGTTGTGGGTTCGAGTCCCATCTCAAGACGAACGTGACTGGTGAATTTTTAAGCGCATCAATTACCAGATTACATCAAAATTTTGCATTTTATTTGAAATCACTACAAATTGTACAATTTAAGTTTTACAAAACCCAGATTGTCGTTGACTGTACTTTGTCAAAAATACAACATGGCCACTAATATATATATAGGTATAAATAAAACACTAATAACCTTGATGACGGGCACGCGCGGTTTGAACCTCGATGATAGCTGGTTAAGCACCTCCACCACCAAGTGCTGATGCTTCAGGGTCTTACGGGTCTTCATTATCCTCACTATGGCCGCCTGAAAGACAAGAAAAACGTTTACCAAACGTATCCTAGGATAAAGGAAAGCCATGGCTCGCTTCATTATTTTTTACGTTATTTGTGGGCTAATTCTATAATTTCAAAATCTATAGCAATCGGTAACAGTGGTACACAAACGATTTTGGAATAAATGATGTTTGCAATGATAAGAAACAATTAAAACTTGCCTAAACGCGTCGAAAGATTTATAGTTAATAATCGACTCTTTGGTTAGACATTTCTCAAAAGCTTTCAGATTCTTTGCGTATACCACTTCCTATTAAATAATTCAAATTAACAATATCGTTCTTTCAATATCTTTAAAAAACGTGGCTTTTTAATTACTATCTTTTAAATGTCAAACTGAAAGGGATTGCAATAAATTTTAAAATTAGATAACTTGCCCTCTAAATACAATGATAATCTGAGTAAGGCATGAATCGTTATGTCCCATGACGGCACAAATATATCTATTTTTATCTATATTATTTGTATTTTTATCGTAAAAGGTCGAGGCCAGGCTACCTGGTAGTGTGCAATTTGTTTATGACATTTTCTTTTTAACTGAGAATTTTAAGAATTGCCAAAATGGTTTGCGTAGTGGGGCACCAACATATCGATATCTCAATATATTTATTATCTGCCAGAATCTCGATGCTCAGATTGAGTTACCTTTAACATAATTTTATATTGCATAATTTCCTTTAGCATCTATTAGTTTTCATTACGATATTTTAGTGAATATTATGACGACATTTAGTTTCATTTTACTAATTTGACATGTCTTTTGGTGGACAAATTTGGGGTAAATGACGAAGTTGGAAACACTGCTGTCAAACCATACTTATCATGCTTCGTTACACTTACACTTAGTGTATACGTCAAAATAGTAAAATGGAACGATATAGCGTTATAACATCGCCGAGATGTATCCTATGGCTATATTTATGCGAGAGGTTAGGCGGTTGCTGTGCTGAGGTCGAAACAAAAAGCGAGCTGGTATAAGGGAAAACAGCTAATTCATTTATTTAATAGACGTCCTGAACAAGTGGTAAGGGAAAATATTTTTGGACGATTCAAAAGTGCTTGTAACAAACTTACTTGAATAAAAACATTTTTATTTAATTTATATAAATACCTGTATAAGCATTTTCCGATCCTCTTCTATGTGTTTGTGCGTCGCCTCTTGTTCCACTTTAAGTTCCGTCTTCAATGGTATGTTGATGTTGACGCGAAGCTTTTTGCTGGTAACAATTTTTTTTATTATTGTTTATAAAAATTATAATTTAATTTTACATGTACATTCAAGGTGTCTTACTGTTTATGAATGAAGACGGTAATAGAATTTAATTAAACTATTTAAGGTCAAATGTCATCTTTAGTCTTTAGATACAGCAACAAGATATGATCATAGCTATAGTCACAGGATGGGTGACCAAATATATATTATCTCCGGGCACATTAAACCATTAGCCCCGGCTATAATTTACTTGATTCCAATAATATTTAGCAAAAAAAAAACCTTAAAAATCCTTACTGCTGATGAATTATTGATGTTAGCATAATGTTATGTATGTGATCTTTTACATCGACTCACTTCTTATATCCTAGATACAATTCCACTACCGATGACTCTGTTAGATCTGATTCGTCGTCCTGGCATACCAGCAGTTTCGCTTTCAACAGTATTTGAAGTACCTATAAAAAAAAAAACAGAATAAATACATTATATTAATAATAATAATAATAATTATTATTATTATAATAATTATTATTATTATTATTATTATATTTACTCAAGTTGTAACCAGTAAACATGTTTATTGAAATGTGACATCACGGCTCGAAATGTTACACGACTGATTGTTTTTGCGAAACGAATTAAATTAGCAAAAAAAAAAAACACGTTTTCCTTTATTTATTAATCATTTATGGGCGTAAAATAAATCTAATAATAGTTAAATAGACCATATGAAAGTTTTAAAATCCTTTTTCCAAAAACAGTCTAGTCGCCAATTAAATTAATTAGTTTTTCAATCATAGACATCAAACTTAGTCACAAATTGTTAATAAATACATAAACAAATCACCTGCAGTAAGAAATCACCCTTAATGCCAGTGTGTTGTTCCAATTGTCTTACTGTCCACGCTGTATTATCATTGTACTGAAGTAGTACTGCCATTTGGAAAGTGCTCGCTTGCAATGTGTACCTGTTATGATTATGAAATATATGTATTAGTCTATGCCTACACTAATAGGGGTGTAGGCAACTTTTTTACATATTTATTTTACAGATATACACGAAATATATATATATATAAATAGTAAAATAATAAAAATAATAGGTTATAATTAATATAAATCTAAAAATAAATTTAATTTTCAATATTTCAACTTCTGTCTTCTTTTTATAGTATTGTAAATTAACACAGAGGCTATTTTATACACCACTTAAATATTTCCCTAGACCACGTGGGCGAAAAGTTAGTTAATATAGGGAAAAAATACCGACTGACTGATCTATTTGCTGCATTCCGGCGACAAAAACTAGCAGTAATAAGTCTTCTATAAATATTCTAGAAAGAACTGTAAGTTTATAAGCTCTGTAAGTTAGAAGCTCGGTGTTGTAGTGAATAAGCTCCGCGATCCGCGATCGTTGTTGTTAAGCAACTTTCGCAATGGTAGAGGTCACAGGATGAGTGACCAATAATTATTATCTCGGGCTACTTCGTGCTTCGAAAGGCACGTTAAGCCGATGGTCCTGACTGCATTTGCAGTCGTTAATACCCTCCAATACAAATTGTGGAGTATCATGGATTATCCTCCTTAACCATCCATAAGGAAGGCCTGAGCAGTGGGGACGTAAAAGGGCTAACGATGACTCTATTTATAATGACCTGTTCTTGAAGCAGTTAGTGACGAGTTCCCCCTTGCTCATGTTGTAGAGCCAGTTCAGTTTGCGACCAGAGTGCTGAGCGGAGTAGAACGATGTGAAACGATGCACAGATCTCTCCAACTGAAACAACAATATAAATTAAATAACTAGTTGTTTGCTTTAAGTAGGCCGTCGACGACTTTTAGTATAATCCCCGCATATTGTTTATACGCCGGGCCACCATTTTGATGACGTAGTTGCGTACAAAAATCAGTACCGTTAACAAATAAACAATAGTCGACTAGTACACTTATTGAGTAGGGTTGTGTTGAGATCACACATAGCTTTTGTTGGTTTCGATTGTTATTATTAAGTTTTGTTTTAACTTGTTGTAACTGACTAAAACAGCAACTGCGATTACGATTTTTACAATAAGTAAACATAATTTCACTACATTTATATATATATATATATATAAATGTCATCACGCGTGAACGGCTGGAGAGTGGATATTCTTAACGGAATGATTAATGAACTTTAGCAAACATATATAACTTCACACAAACAAAACGGAATATAAAAACGATAATAGTGACCGGCATGGACAGGTGTACGCGATGTTGTTACCAACGGTACTCATGAGGGTCTGCTTGGACGTGAGTATAAATAACGTTTTGAAGTCTCACTAAAACACAAGATCAGATGAACTTATTTGGTTAATTTTTTTTTTTAAATACTCACAGAATTCCAAAGTTTAGGTGATAAAAAGTGAAGATATTGACAATAATTAAAAAAGCAATTTTATGTTCACATACAAACCTGTCAGATAGAGTGTGTTCTGAAATTAATTTAATTGAGGTTTAGACGCCAGATGTCTAAAAAAATGTTACTTTGACAGTTCTATATTAATATTTATCATAAAAATTATACTTAAAATCGACTTAGGTGCTTGTACTTGAATCTATATTATACCACATTATTTTTTTATAAAAAATCAGTAAGCACCTATATCTACTAAAACAATAGTGTGACAACTCTAGTCTCTGACCGCTGAGTAGGTTTTATTTTCCTAGACACAGAATCGAACTACAAGCTATAATGTTTATACTATAGTACTACACTATTATTGCTTATCTCTGACTATGCGTAAGTGAAGATATAGATATATACCTCAGTGGGTAGCTGGAAAGAGCTAGACTGCTGGAAGGGCCAAGACCCTGATGATAGCACCTGGATGCTAAAGTCAATGTGCAAAGGCGACTCTGCGCTGTCCAACATGTGCTTGCGGAAGTTTTCATTCAAATCTTTGGATACGCCGATATCCTGTGTAAATAGAATATATGAATAAAATATTATATTGCGGCATATATTGTAAAAACGAATTCGAATAACAACTTCACTTACTTGGAACATTCTTTGCAACTTGCTTGTGTATTCGAAACCACACGCCTGTTTCAACTTTGAGATCATTGAGGCCTGAAAAAAATATTAAGAAAATTATTTTAATTTTCTGAACAATGTATTTGCATAAAGAAACGACCAAACTTATGGTTACAATTTACATTCAGTCTTGTTTTAATTACCATAAAGCATAAAATACAACGCATTAAGATAGGTAAAGGAGCAACTTGAATTACTCTAATTGGCAGACATTTCCTGAAGTTCGAAATTTTCCTATGTAGCTTCCCAAAGGTGAAAGACTTTTCAAAGAATTTTCGGTAGAGTTGTTGCGGAGCCTTTTCAATGCAAACAAATAATCAAATCTTTTCTGTTTACAATATTAGTATGGATAAGACATACCTCTGCGTCATCGCTGGCGGACATGTGTTGCACCAGTCTCTTGGCAAGCATTTTACTGTAGAACTTCTGGAATACATCCTTATCTTCGATATATTTGAACACAACCATCTGTAACAAAATGAAAAAAATATATAATAAAATACTCAGACATTTTCAAATTATTATTTTTTTCTATGAATAAGCAAGTTTGAGAAATTTCTGAACAATTTGCAGATATATTAATAATTTTACTATAATTTTATATAGAAATACAATCTTGCACTAACTGTATCCATGTTAATAGGAACACTATTTTATACAAAGTATTTTAGAGAAATCGAAAAACGAAAATGTAATAACTTATAAAGAAACTTTAACACAAAAACTAGTCTTAATACAATATGCTTAAAAAATCCACTTGGTCCCTGGCACCCTGAGAATGTTCAGGCATCCACCCAAACAGCCGAAAGAAATATTGTTACAAATATTGAAACTTTCGATAAAGATGAGAATTTTGTTCTAATTATTATACTTTGATTAATTTTGCATTCACAATGCCATACTGAAAATCCTGGGTAGCTCAGTGGTTGGAGCAGTCGCCCGGATTGCGAAAGGTCGTGGGTTCGATTCCCATCTCAGGGTGCCAGAGACCAAGTGGATTTTTTAAGCATTTTGTATTAAGAATAATTTTCAGTATGGCATTGTGAATGTAAAATTAATCAAAATATAATTTAACACAAAACGTCAAAAGATAAAATATAAACATACATATACTATAGACGGATATATGTAACATATATGTGCGGAAAAACGGATAATAAGGATAATCCATATCCTTAGCTCTGCATAGAAATCTGTATCGGAGTACTGCGTTTCGTTATACGACATTCTATTGATTGTTGACTCCACCCCATACCACAATAAGCAGTATTCCAAGGAAACAATACAGAGTTCAATGAATTTTGAACTGTGAGTTGATTAAGAGAATATTAAATATAGAGTTCAGAGAACATTGGAGTTAGCAATACGAATCGTTTGCTTTCAATGCCCACGTAATATCTCATAGTCAGTTTTTTCGACTACAGTAAGATTCCTGTATAGTATTCGTGTGGGTAATAACTATGAAAGAATAATGTTATATTTTACCGCACCTTCACACACGAGCGCTTTATGTTTTTAATGTAATTTCTGTGCAATGCACGTAGTTTGTAAATATATTAGTCATGTTCTCACCACTTGATTGAGGGTGTCTTCTAGTTCTGCTTCTTCAGGGTTCTTGCTGGATTTCTTCAGCAACAGATCGCAATACTTGGCGAGGAGTTCTGGACTTTTGGACGATGAATTAGCGGCTTTCGTCACTGCGTTGCCTATTATAAAGAAAATTAGAAGCAAATATAAATATATTAATTTAAATAATTAACTTGATTACTTTACCTAGCGTAGGTTTTATAATCAATACGACTATCCTAATAAAATTAGCTAACCCGGCTTATTATAGCGCGAAAGGGATATATGCCAAAAAGAAAAGGTATACCGAATGAAAGTATAAGGTACCAAATGCGAGAACTTTAATGAAAGAGAAAAACTAGGGTAACAACGGCCTACTACAGAGTGGGAAGCAGAAAGAATAAAAAGAAATAAGATTAGCTGTTGTTTTGTTCTGCTTTGTTGACTAGCCAATAAAACAAAATCTATACTGTAAGTTTATTGTCTTAATATTAATCGATCTCCCTGGTGCCTACTTTAATATAAACAGACTTTATTGCACACAATACCAACAAGTAAAATCCAGGCATTTAAACTATATTCTATAAAATGCGTGTGAAACAAATTTCATTATAGATATTATCTCACTCCATCTACAAATTGACGTATCTATATATTAATTGTAGAATAAAAACTAATCATTAAAAACAATATTCCAATGTGGCTTCCATAAACTCGATTTTGGTATAACCATGTGTCATATATTATACACTAATATTATATAAGAATAAAATGGCGCAGTTTCAACGGCAGGTCGTAAATTCAGTAACTCGACTCGAGCTCAAAAGCACGTTAAGCCGTTTTCGTATCGTTAACGCCTTCTAATCTGCACTGGACACGAGTCATAAGTTGTGGCTTGTTTTCAACGTTTTATTTTCTGCAGTGGAAACATTTAAATAGGCTAGTGATTAACTGGTGGTCCCTGGAAGAGGTCCGTGGAGCGGAAGTTTCATACACACGATGCTCTATTAATCTAAATTTAGTCACATAATGATATAAATTTGTCAAATGGATCCTAATAACTGGAAGGTTAAGAAGCACTGTGATAAAATGCCAATGATGATAATTATACTCACTGTTTATAAATCTGCCGCATGCTTTGTCCAACGCCGCTACGAACCCGGAATCATTGTTGAACGCAACCAAAACTAGGGCGTTGTACTTCTTGTGTACCTCCAATATTGTTGACACATACACTTTAGGATCCTAATTGAACAAAAAAAATATGTAATAAAAAAACAGTGTTACAATAAGCACCGCGGCCTGCGATCGTTGTTGCTAAGCAACTTTCGCAAAGGATGGGTGATCAAATATTATTATCTAGAGCTGCTTCGAAATGAACATTAAGGCGTTGGTTCCGGCTGTATTTGCAGTCGTCAATATCAGCGTAGAGGGCCACAACCCATCTTCCTTAGACAGCTATAAGAAAGGCCTGAGCCCCTGCAGTGGGGACGTAAAAAGGGCCAATGATAGTAAGTAATGATTACAAATACATTGCTCGGGTCATAAGTAGGTAAAACCATTGCCATAGAAATCTAGCTAACGTACATACCATTTGCAGTCCTAGAGAACTGCAAAACATATGTTAGTGGTCGACTACAACATTGATCATATAACAGCAAGTTATCGCAGTTAAAAAAATAAATTTTAAAGTGAAAATAAGCGAAATAATAAAATAAGCCATATTTAAGTGTTTCTTCTGTCGTTTTTTTTTAATAGTTCGAATTGTACTCAAGTCGTTCAAGGCAAGGCCTAAAAACCGGTGATTTATAAAACAGTATAATTGTATATAGTCTGACCGTGTGCGCGCTCTCTCCACATTTGTCTATGGCCTGCAGTCCCTGCGCATGTATATGTTGCTCGAGTAACCGCCTCAACTCGCACAGACCGTCCGGTATACGAGCCACCAGACTATACATACGGCCCAGATCATCGTTCTTCTCGCCGTCGAGTAGTTTCTATTTAAAAATCATAAAATTTTTGAAACATAATAAGAATTCAAATCCTACCTACCTTATCATTAAAGGAGGAGTAACCTTTTTAAAACATTGACCTGTCTTAATATAAAAGAAAGAGTAACTTTTTCAAAACATTATCGAAATGTGCTAACACATCTCAATATGTTTTCTCTTCTGTCATGGTCAATTTGCTTTAGGCGACGAATAGTTTAAACTAAGTATCTACTGACTTTAGTCCTCGTTTTATAATAAGACGGCTAAAGTCCAAACTTATCTGTTATAATCAGATACCTCAAATCCATAGTAATAGTATAAAATAAATTCGCTTCCCGCTGTCTGTACTTAAAGCTTGTAATTACGCAACGGATTTTAATATGGTTTTCATTAAGACACTAATTCAAGAGGAAGATTTATGTGTACAATACAGAACCACTCGGGCGAAGCCGCTGGCGAAAAGCTAGTTAGGTATAAATAATAATACATATTAAACAACAACAAACATTATCATTAAATTGATGACATTTCAAAATTCAGCAACACGTCGTATTATCACAATAATTTGAAAAAAGAAATCAATTGCTTCTCAACATCACCTTGAATGCATTAAGGTTTCAAATCGAGTGAAAACTGACAGATTTGTATAAGCTGACGAACTGTTGACCGTACATAATATTAAGGAAATATACACGTTAAACTCACCTGGAACTCAGCGTGGAATATCTCTAGGTGTTTCTCTATGAGAACGCGGTCGCATGTTTTCGCGAGTCGCTCCATAGTGGTCTCGTGTAAGTACACTTGAACGCGACGCTGCTCCTCCTGCAGTCTTTGTTCTGCCTATATAAAAATATTATACATATGAAATAAATATAATTCAAATCTTAAAAATACTTGTAAAAATAAAATAACGGCAAAAAAAATACGTATTTTGTATAGGATCCCTCTTAATTTTTTTTTTGTTTTTACAGCGGAAACCGAAATATATCATCTGTAAAAATAGCCTCTAAAAGTGTCTGTAGACAAATGCATAGCAGTGCACGAAACTTTGAAAAGGGAATCGAAACATCAGTTATACAGCTATTATGTTATAAAGGGAGGGAGGCGAGTCGACGAAGTATGTCATTTTTTTATTGTGGCACGACAAAGTCACTGTTATACTCCTGATGAAAAGTAATATTACAGTCCAATAGTATAATAATATCTGTCAGTAGACTGCTCTGGAGCCTGGCCTGCTAAACAGCCTTTTCACACATTATTGAACGACTCAAAATTGTATGTAGTTGGTAACCCTTGGGGTGGGATACTGTTTCATGTTTTAATTTAATGGCAAATATAAGATTTAAGAATTTTCTTGTACGAAAAGGTATTGTGCAAATAGTCTGGGGATGGCAGCAAACATCGGCACACGTTAACTTGTTACGGAATGTTGAATAATTCTTCAGAGCATTCGCCATGTAGAGTACAGTAACTTAACACATCCCCTGTGAGAGGGATCGATAAATTATGTGACATAGACGGCGGAGGGTCGACAAACTATGTGAAAAGTAACGAAGGATCAATGAAGTATATGACTAGTGACGGCAATGGTCTAAATACGTAAACAGTGAAGAAGAAGATTGCGTGGTAACATAGATATGTTACCACGCAAATTAGAATCACTAGTACAACATTCATTACAACACTAATGGTCACACTAAATTCATCTGTAAGACGAGCACGAATTTGTAGAGTATTCGTAACGTAAACGTATCGAGTCGTCGAAACGATAACATCATCTTGTAGCACGAAGTACTTTCGTCATCGTGATGTGAACTCGACTTTTTAAATGAGATCTAGAACTATATGATATTTCACGTGGATAATCTTTTTTAGGAGCTTAATTGATAATATCGAGAAAAATAATATATATAATAATGGCATAATAAAGTTAATTATTGCAACATTGTAAGTATCGTTTACGTTACATTAAGCGATACGAATGAGCTTCGTGTCTCTAAATGTAATTACGTTTACGCCCACTAGAGGTGGTACTTAATTCCATACATTTAGGATTACGATACAAATAATTTAACACAGTGTTCGTGTTTGCCCTACTGGCTTCCACTTGTTTACAGACTAGTTTTGGGCGTCTCACATACGGAAAGAGTACCCACAGAAGCAAAATCCAATACGATAAAGTTGAAAGAATATATGTAATAATTTCTCCAACTTACTTTTATCATGTACTCGGTAACGGGGTTGTTACGTAGAAAATCTGTACTCTCTCTGATGTAGAATCTCTCTGTGTCTTCTAAGAAAACAGCTTCGAAGGTCTCCTTGTATATGGCAAGGTTTTGGCCGCGCGCACTTGGGTCCTCCTCGTTCAAGCCTAACGCCACATAGCAATCGATCACCTGCAAGTAACCATTGGTTATTTAGAAAAGAATCGTTTATTCTACATACAAATGGCACTTATTTCGGATCGCGAGTGAGATATTGTCAATATACTATGTTTACTATCAAGGATACATAAGGTTTCTAAGGTCACTATGCAATCGATGATTGTTGTAAGTGTAACTTTATGTTGATATAACAAGTGGATAATTATCTTGACAACGAGCTGTTGGCAATTCAGTTTCTTAATGAACAAAAAACTAAAAGAAGAAAGCAGCATTGTTAGGGTGGCGGTAATGAGCCGATATATAAAGTAATAATAACAAACATTTTACCTTTATATCAAATGTATCTTTTTTTAAATCTAATTTTGAAGATCTATTTATCAATTAATTATTTTGTCGTGTGATAGTTCAATAGATTTATACACATCCAAAAATGCCTACATAAAATATTTATGTTTACTTTATTTTATGCGGGATTTCCCACCAACCACTGTCGAATAGGTATCCAGACTCCTTAAGAAATAGGGATGACAACTAATTTTCGTTTGTTTGTCCGTCAGGTAGAGTGTTAAAAAATATAAAACACGTATTTTTCGTAATTATAAAATTACGGCGTTACATGGAGTTGAAATTTCGCATGACGTCACGTTATGGTACGTTTTCTACTAAACTGTGACGTAGCGAGCCCCCACTCCTCAACTTTAATGCCTATTATCTAAGCTATTTCTTGTTAAATTGAAGTAAAAAAAAAAAAAATACGTATCTAATATTTTTTTACTATCTGACTGACGGACTAAACAGAATTGCATTTTTTTTACTCAGTCATCCCTATTACTCGTGAGACTACTCAATGTGATATTTTTCTATATAACGTCAATTTGTTTCACATTCCTCCTACAACACCTCGCGGGAGATCGCTGCTATTGATGTTAAACGAAATCTTCTAAAGCTTCACATTTTCTCAAGATAAAAAAATAATAATGAAGAGTACTCTCACCCCTGAAACGAGCCTGGTGTTAATGGTTTCCCCGTTGCGTTCCCTCTCGATCAGTTTCAACACGGCGTTAGTCACTTGTTTGTTGAGCCGTTGGAACAGATTGTCGCGCCACGTCACTAAAGCTAACTGGTAGATCTCGTAGATACCCTGACAATGGAAAGAAATGCATTAAGTTTAATTCCAAACTTTTATTCTTTAGAAACTGAGCATTAGTTAACAAATTTATTTACTGCAAATTTATGGTGACAAATTTGATGGTTATTAATGGCCTTATCTTGGATAAATAAATTTATTGTTGATTGTAATTTCTGTTTTTTTAATTTTTTACTATATTAACATGCCATTCGTTAATGGCTCAATAGGTGATGATTGTATTTTTTTAAATATAAGAATAAAAGAATGGTCCATTACCCACCCCACGACTCAGCAGGGGTTGGTGGATTTTAATGACTGCATTTGCAGTCTGGGCCAACGGTTGTCTTTCGAAGCACGGAAATCGAAATAAGAAAATTTTGGCCACCCATCCTATGACGGGCCTTTGCGAACGTTGCTTAAAATCCGGGACGCAGACCGACTACAACTTTCAGTTCAGTTCAGAATGAAAAAGAGATAAGACAAGGACAGAGTGCGAAAAGCGTGAGTGTATCAAATGTGGTGATAAAATTTTTGAAAGATTTCAAGAATAATATCGTTTCAAAAGCATAGTGAATAGCACGCCAGGTTTCCACAAAATTACGAACTTTCACATTCAATTATAAAGTTTATTTCATACAACTATGAAATAATAATGGTAATTTTCATGGCAAAAAAACATCTGACCTTATATCAAGCCTTCGCTCGACAAGAAGTAAATAATTTGCATATTTCCTGTGTGGCACATATTAGGAAGACATTGAAATGCAATGCGAGCGCGTATATAATAGAGATTTGTCCATATATGTATATAAGTACATAACATAACGACTAGCGAGGTCACTCATTAAAAAACTCCTCATATTCTACAGTTTGCGATTTCTGGTGGTATTACTTTGACAACGCGTAATACTACAGCGATCGCGGTAAAAGGGTTAAGCCGAATTTATTAGTTTCATTGCATTAACTTCACGACACTTAGAATAGTTTTTTCGTGGCATGCGCGTAATTTTGGTGAAAAATCAGCATTTTAATAAAATTAAGATAAAGGTTTTTTGCTCTTTACTCGTAAACAATGTAAGGTCATTGTAATATTTTACAAGATTAATTTTGCATTCACAATTTTCAGTGTGTTGATATTAAAAACGTTTTTCATTAAAAACATTGTACTTATAGTTATTAAATCCGCGTTTCTGCTCCCGTGTCAACGGTGTAACTCTGCACATTAAGGCTAATGTTACCGGGAGCCAGTGTCTTAGAGATACTGCTAAATCCACGCTTTTGCGAAACTAAGTTTCACATATGCTGAAATTAGTTCCATGTAACTTATTTCATCCTGCATGACACTAATTTCGTAATGTAAACTCTACTTTTATTAATCTGCAATCTCTTTCCCACGTACCTTCCTGCCCTCCTCGCACTCGCGCTTGACCCAGTGCCGGTTGAGGTATGCGCAGACGCCGTTCAACACCCGTGATGAGAACTGGTACTCCTCCCATTGTTTCGTATAGAATGCCAGGACGTCTTCACCCATTAGATCGGCACCGTTCTGCATTAATTTAAATTGATTCAACTTAGGGAACCTAATTAATACTCAATTGGTGACACGAGTAACGGTGAAATTATTTTTCTCGTGTCGTGTAACAATATAAGCATATTTGTTCCAAAAAATAAACATTTAATAACCGCTTTATTAATATAAATAATTTTCTTAAATTCACAAATACCCACACAATTAGTGGTGGCACTATCGGCAACTTACTGCTCGGCCATCGCAAAAATGGTTTTTGGTCGTCTGGGAGCCTTTCAAAACAATATTGCCCATACCAAAAATATTGGCGATATGGCCGGGATATAACTGCAATATGTATGAAAACAAAAGGTTGTGCACAACCTGTCTAGCCACTGTGTTGCAACCACTAATTGCAAAAAATATTGCCCATTTACGAGCCTCTAGCTTTTTTCCGCTATTTCGTTCCGCGACATTTATTAAAATATAGCCTGTCACCCGCGTATGATATAGCTTCCCGTAACTGGAGGAATTGACATGATCGGATAAGTATTTCCGAAGATTGCCCCTTAAAAACTAAAGAGGAAGAAACTTTACGTTTTTTAAATTGTAAATATAGATAAAACAGAAAAAAAAAATCAAATAAGCTTCTAGAAAGCTCTTTTGAATTATTTATTTAGCATTTAGCGTTTTCTGATGAAGAGAAGCAATAAATCTATCAGCTCTTAAGGCATTATAGACATTTACAAAAACCTTTCATCAATTAAATAGATTTTTATGAATGACTACCTAATAGATAAGTACATATACATGTTAATACCTGAAGTAGATTAATGAGATAAATCCTGAGGAACTCGCGTAGTCTCTTGTACAATTCTAGGCCAACTAGCTGAGCACCGCCCTGCACTTGTCCAGACTGCAAACAAATATGTAATAACATCAGTACCATTCAGGAGCTGGATGGAGCAAAGGAGATCAAGCAAGGACCAATCAAAGGACCCAAATTTTTTTTATCTTAAGCTCGTTACGTTAAGCCGTTGGTCTCTGCTGTATATATAGTCTGCATAAGACCCACCAATCCGTACTGGGTCTTCGTGTTAGGTCTTGGCACACACTATTTAACTTTCACTATTTAATTCCATCCATCTGGAAGCGGTCGAGGACTGGAAGCATGATGATGATGTGATGAATCCATCCAAATCTTATTTTATATAGAAAGCTATCTTTCTCTTTAAGGACCAGTAAAATAATCATTTCCAACATTATTCAGATGAGTTTTTCACTCTTGTTGGCACTTTGTGGTGTTATGCCATTAGCCTTATTGTTTTGTTGTCAAGATATCAATAACAGCAATACGAGTCCACAAATAATTCGTTCGTACCTGTTTCTTGCCTCCATAATTGTTTCTTCCGCCGTTGTTGGCGCTGTTCCGGCTTGCTGATGAGCTAGAACTCTGGTGGTTCACGGACGTACAATAGTTGTATACATGACTGTTTTATAGTATCAGGAATATTATATTGTTGTAAATAAAGTTTGGTAACGAAAAGTAAGCAGTAACTTTCATTGTCAAGCAAGTTAGCACTATATTCTTACATCAATAGCGTTTTTTAAGAATAAAATTAAAGTTAGGAGTGAATGGTTAGATTACTGTTATAAAATAAAAAAAATCTCAGTTGAAATAAAAACTCTTTATTTTATATTTTTTACTCATTTTAGCACGTCCATATTGACGCAATGAACTACAACGCACCCGACATGTCGCGATTGGTTAAAAAAATTGTGTGCTGTCCATAACCAATCACTTAATACGGTAGCGCCCTCAAGAGGGGGAATAGAAGAAAAAGACTACATAAACTTCTAATAAATTTCAAACTAGGACAAGACAATATTCAGACTGATGTATACTAAAAAATAATATTAAAAAGAGTAAAGATTTGTTTGTTTTTTTATTTACATCGAATAAGCTCCAAAACTACTGAATTGATTTTTAAAATTCTGTCACTTAGGGATATCTACATCAAACGAGGGGGACATTGCTAAAATTAACGCTGGCGAAATCGCGGGGAAACAGCTCGTATTGTATATGAAGCATTAAAAGGATACGTATACAAATGTATGTATCTTTTCTTCACCATATACTGTCTCTTATAGACTTGTTCGATGCCTTCTTGCAAGTCGCCCCATATCTGAAAACAAGTTGAATAACGTTGATATAGCTAATTTTATCACAATATGATGACGAAACCGACTAAGTTAGGATTCTGCAAACCAAAAATAAAAAACGTAACACTTTTATTAAAGGATCGCTCCGTTGCCTATCTCTTTGGCACATCTGATTATCCCCGAAATAACTGCACAGATTGAGTTGTAATGCACACATGTAAGCAGGAGACCTGAAAGATGTTTGTAAGCAAATAAATGAACTTTAAACATGAAGGCCTAATTTGTGGGATAAATTAAAAAAATAATTACACACGTAGAATCGGTAAATCCCGAAACTATCTTAACTAATACTCTTAACTTAACGCCTCTCCATAAAGCACTCTCAGGAATTGTTAGAAGTTTAGTAGACTTGATGTGCAAAGTCTAACGACTCTCGTATACCGTGTTGCTATAAGAACATCGTGATCCAGCCTTCAAATGGGGAACAGACCAATCATGATTGCTCTATCCATCCTATCCGCCTTAGACTAATTCTGATCGGTCTATTCAACGCTTGATAGTCGGAAAACAATGTTCGTAAAGATACACGGCAGGCCGCTGATGATTTTGAAGGCTGACTGTGGCGGTACATAGATATTTAACAGGTAAAGGTACTACAGTTGGAAGTTGCTAAATGTCGTAATTCACAGCTTTATCAGTCACCTATCAAATAGGAAAATTGTATCACCGACGGTTCTACATACATTTATGTGAAAAAATTTATATATCGTGATTTTGGAGATGGATTTTTTATCTTCTGAAAATCAAACGCTTAGAAGAACAAGTCTTGCATGATCATTGAAACTAAAGATTTTCTTTTCTATCCATCCAGAGATTGACGCGCCTTTGGACCACTTTTAAGGATTTGACAGGATAACAAGAATCCGATAATTTTTTTATTACTTAAATAATATCTTTAATGAAAAATGCTTACTTGGCGCTGGTGGAATTTTTAAGCATTTTTCAGAGTATCAGTATTGCATCGTGAATGTAAAATTGATCAAATATAATAATTTAAAGAGGTTAAGTATAAAATATTCATGGTATTGTATTCATGGTATTTAATGAACTATCTTTAATATTTTACATAGTTCAACAGTTTCATGTGTTCCCACGTAAAAATATACGTTCAATTGACGTCAAAGATTAGAAATGCGTGCGAGTAATCGGTAAAACTAACATTTGCGTCTTATTAGACTTTGCCACGTATAGGGAAAATCGATTATAAACCTTAAATCAGACGATCGTTGTATACTGTATAATTTGAACAGACAGATTAGTTTCATGGAGCGACCGCATTAAGAATAAGCCTCTGAGAGGAGTTCGAGGATGGCAACACCATGAAACTGGCGATGCAAGCCATCCGACCGCGAAGGTCATCTACGAAAAACTGTTATAAGCTCAAGCAACTCACTGATTACGGCCTAAATAGTGATGACATTCGAACTGCCAACAGCCGAAATTATTAATTTATGGAGCTGATAAAGAGACAATCGGAAAAACTTGTCTAAAATAAGCCGGAATTATAAATACGCTACGAATTTTAAGTAAGTTGTAGTTGTTTTAAGTTGTAGTATAGGGTTACTATTTTTTGACTTTCTGGCATTATTGCGTACTCCGCCTCCCATAGCGTGAATCAGCAAGGTTATGGTAGGGTCATTCCTATAGCCCCGCCTCCAGAAGGGTGGAGTCAAAATGCCTACCCACTATAACGCTCCTATGTCCCCCTCTATAGTAAGCCATACGAGTAAATAATCACCAGACTTCTTTTCTCTCGGAAAGAATATAAAAAGGCAATAGAAAGAAATTTTAGAATTCTTTTATACTTAGTATAAAACAGTATAGTATAAACTACACAACGGATTTAACTGCGGTTTCAAAAACACAACTGTCATCAAAAACACATCGTTTCAAAACGATGGTTCATATGTATAATACAGGCAGGTGAAGCCGCTGGCGGAAAGCTCGTTGAATATAAACATGAACCAGCGCACACATACATATATGCCCAGAATTGTAAAGGATTCTTCTGTCAAAGACGGTTCATGTTTGTATACAACGAGCTCTCCGCCGCAAGATTATCAAGGATACTACTGTTGCCTGTCGCCAGGTGCCACGGTTTGACGTTGAACTTTAGTTGTCTTCTAGGATATGTTGAAAATTTAATATTGTAAAAGAAAGTATCCGCCGTACCGTTTGTCTAAATACATATTTCGCTTTTGTACAGATTTAACAAAGGAATTGACAAGAAACTTTAGGTGTTATTCATTAAGTTTAGTGGAAATTTATTTACATGTAGATCGATAAATGACCTTGGTAAATCTTTGAACCGTTTCCATCAATTAATTGGTGAATATTAAAAAAACTTCCTTCCATTTATGAAGGAAAGTTGATCGATTCTATTAATAAATCATAAAGGGGTCAATATGTAACTTTTTTATAATGGCGCACATTCCTCATGTTGGCATGATGCCAGACGTGTATTTAAAATAATATCGCCAAATCAACGGATGTTAAAGATTTAGAACGGTTATGGTGACTTGGATGAAAACTTGGGATGCAATACATATGTAGGCTCATGGTACGAGGTTTTTTCGGTTATCTGGGACCATTCTTGTACAGTAATATTGTATTCTTGTACAGTATAAGGCTGAATTGGAAACTTTCTATAAATGCCCTAAATAAATGGTCAAGTCGTAAAAACTTAAGGAGTAACTTGACCCTTTTGTATACGGACACAGAATTATTGTTTCAAGTAGTGCAATGAATAAATCACAATTGAATGTTTAATAACTAGATATATCTATCTGGATAAAATACCTAGATGTTCCTGTTCAAATTATCACTTTCTTGATTTTTGTATTTCGTTTATTTTTAATGTTGTTGTGCTTGTTCACGTATATAATAAATTAATAATAAATTTTAGCACATTATCTGATTCATTTGGGGCTGATGACCTGTAATACGGGGTTGAAGCTACACAGGCACCAGTCTTCCACAAATGAATTTAAATAAGATAATAATAGGATAGATCAATAGGAAATAAATCTTATTATTATTATTTTATAACAAATCGTCGTCATACGTACATACACCTCAGTTACACAAATCCTTATTGAATTATATGCCTTAACCTTCCTCATGATTTACTCCGTCCATTGTTGAAAAACACATGTAAATCCTAACGGTAATTTTTGAATTCATTATGTTCAGACAGATAAACAACTGTCTACTATTTATAATATAAAAAAAGAACGAATAGAGATGGTCAAAATTAAGAAGTGGCAAGTTCCCATTTTTATGAAATATGAAGAAGACCGGGTAGACCAGCACGCATAGCATGACGATCTCGAGAATGGTATATTTACTCCTAGCAATAGACTACAACTTTCTCAGGTCAACAGTGAATTAGTCACGATGTGAGCATGACAAACTGAAGAAATATTAATCGCAACAGTATGAGTTGTCGTAGCCACTTTTAAGCTGCCTGCATATCTTCCCGAGAAGTGGCTGAATGATCTACATTGTTTATTGTCACTTTAACTGTAAAGAGGTGCAAGAGACAGTAGATTTATTTCAAAATATTTGTTTTTTCATTAGATAAAATGACAATATAGCATTCTCATTGCAAAATTTATCAATAAAACACAACTTATTCGTAAGTGATGACCGATTACATTCCATTGTTTTATTTAAATCGATAATGCTGTGTATGAAAACAAAACTTATCATGTCTTATCAGAATTACGATGTAACAGCTGATCTTTTACAGTGGGACGTGGAATGTACTAAAGGTATTTATCAGAAAAACAATGGAGAATAAGACTCACAATAACATTATTCATTATATAACTGACAATCTAACAATATTATTATATTGCTTAGATAATAATCAAACATGCGACTACAATTCATACCATAAGAGGTATTCCAAACGCGATGCTAATTCTACTTCAATTCAGCTCATGTGAGTGGAATATCTCTTTCAATTCATGACCCCTTCATTTTTCTTAGTTATTTTCACAATTTAAAACATAAATTGTCAGGAATAAACCAAAATTGAGGATAGGTTTTTACATAAGATTATGTGCTTCTTAGAATTAATTTAAAAATCTACGATTTTCACAACGTATTAAAACGATGGGAGTATTTAAATTTAAAAATGGCTTTCAAACATCAAAAATTGTCGGCTTAAAACTTACGACACTTCTTACACGTCAGTTGGTGTAAGCCAACTGACGTGTAAGAAGTGTCGTAAGCCAGTCTGCCAGTGCGACGGGCACCAATGATGTGGGAACTAAGACCGTGATTGCGTTACTACGTAAAGGAACAAACTGTCAACAATACATAGTCAGTTGTTCGGGTTGCCACCTTTTATTAGAAGCAATTGAGTAATCTGAATTTAAACGGAGGCAAATATAGGGAACCTATGGATTTGTTCAAGATATTGTGATTTATTTACCATTAAAAAAAAGTTTTTCTTTTTTCTTCACGATAAATAGCTATGAATCATATATGCATGACTGGCATAATATAACACTGTCAAAGTATATAAGCGTTCTTTATCATTGTTATAAAGTGCGCCTAGATACACTATAGCACGATACTCTATTTTAGAGTACGGTTGGCCACTTTACCTGTTGTTGGTCTAGGCGCTAGCAATATGATGGTGCATAAAAAAATAGGAAATTAACTGATTCGTAAGCTCAATATCAGATATCGTTTGAGTATCAAACCTAATGCACTTTTTTATGTGATGACAACCCTAACCTCAGAAAAAATTTGAGTAGGTTTGCCAAGTGCAAGTCTGAGTAGCGGATATTTTATTTATACTAAATAAAATAAATAAATAAATATATTGCAAAACATTCTTTACTAATTAAAAACTCAGGAGCTCCATTATAAAAAATTCAATTATTTGCGTTTCACAATCGATTTTTGGTCACAAACTAACATATGTGTATCAAACAACTCAATTGATAAGTAGTCCTGCCAGCGCCAATTAACTGTAACGGACGGACAGGAGATCCCTTAAGGATTTGTTGTGACATCTATCACATCGTCACAATACGCAAGACGAAAACTTCAATTGACCACGCACAGTCACAAAATGACACCGGTACGCCGATATTGTTTCACTATGACTAAACATAAACACAACTTCAAACCTATATTGCTAGGACCGCAGTCCTCGCGCTATAATTCCCATCTTGGAGAGAGACAATTGCCCTTTATTCTTTCTTACAAGTTTCTATGACCAAGTAGAACCTCAAATCAATCCGGTTCCTACATATTATTTTACTTTTTTAAGATATAGAACCCTAATCTATAGGTTAAAGCACGATCGACGAACATAAATAATTTCGTAAGGCGACCCAGCACTACATATCTTTTTCACTCATGCGCAAACATATTGCTATTGTGCCCGCGCAGATGCATTTAGTAAAAATGTTTATAGGGAAGCAAACTTAAAATGTTAAGGATATCTATCAGTAAACAGAAAGGGCAACTTACGATATTGTCTCTGTTCGGCGACCGCGCTATTCAGGTGTTAAATATAAAAAGAAAGTAAGTTATTAACAATTAATGAACTTACTTGATCGAAATCCTTTTGCCGCAAAGGCATCTGGGGCTTCACACTCGTATTGCTACCAACAGAACTCATACTGGCAATATAATCCCTCTCATAAATACAACAGAATAAAACGATACGAAGTGAACAAAAAAACTTCAATTGCACTAAAACCAACCACGATTCATGTATATAAAAAAAATATTACACTAATCACGTGTTAAGAGATCACAGTAGAAATTATTTTTACTTTAATATTTACAATAACATTTTTTTGTTACTAAAAAAAATATTTGTTACTCTATTGTCTAGCTGGTGCTGTATTCATTTGCTTTATCTGAAAAAAAGAAAAAACACAATGACTAAAAATATATCTAATAAATAAAATCCTTGTGTCGCAGTTTTATCATACTCCTCTGAAATGGCGTGATTGTTTCTGATTGACATATTACAATGTATATTCAGTAGGTTCGAGAATAGGTTTGTTAGGTATTGGTTTGTTATTATACTCTTTAGGTGATAAGTTATGTAAGACAAAATAATGTTAGTCAGGTTGCACAAACCCAAATTCTGTAAATGAACCAACACTCTTAAGTGTCTCAATATAATTTGTTATTATTGCCTTTACACAGCTGAGATGTAGCCAATATCTGTGTATTGTAATGCATAATGTACAAAGCTCTTCTAAATAAAGTTGTATTATAAAGCAAATGATGGTTATATCATAAATTAAACTAGGAATGTTTGAATGAATTTCTTTTAATAAGATATGAATAAGTTGAAGTAAATTAAACAATATACATTGCAAAAATTTTATGCTTTTTTCCATTTGGTCTATTTAATTGAATATTATATTTAATTGAGTATATATGATATTTAACTTTTAAAAATATTCTAACCTTATTTACATCTACCTAAGATGTAAGTAATAAAACAAATTAGACATAAACTCACAATATTTATAATTTGATGGCAAATCAGGAATCGATTTAACAATTGTTGCATTATCTGACATCAGTTTTGCAAGCAGGTAAGAATATTTTAAAATTTAGAACATAATAAAAATACCATAAAAGTGGAAAGTATATATGAAAAAGTAATGAAAGTGGATGAGGTGAAAGATCTATGTAAGAACCATACATTGTGACATTTAGTTGTCTCTGCCTACATGCAAGGGATAATGTGAGAAGATATAGATAGATAATATATAAACAGTAAAAAATTAAACAGATTCAGCATTTCAATGACAATCATAAACTTAATTATATCCTTTATTCTATTTCAATAGAAGTGACTAATGTGAGTGTTAAGTAAATAAAAATATCAGTATTTTACAGAAACTATACTAACAGAACAAACTGAGATGTTATTGACAAACTAATGATATATATTTATTGCATAGAGTATGTATACTGCACTAGCTCACTCTCTTATAAGCAAGACATAGTGGCATACCATATTTAATTATGTATTATACAAAAATACCAAAGCACAGTAATAATAATTCAACTTTATCAAAGTAAGGTAACTTAATTGTATTAGAGTGCAGCAGTAATACAAGGAAGTAAGACCAGCTCTAACAACAGGTTAATCAAGTAAACATGTACAAGTAATACAATAGCATGAAAATACATAACATTTAAAACCTTAATACTGTAAAATTTATTTGAAAGTAGGTTACCTGTATTTATTTTCATGACAGACAACACTAACAGTAACACCTACTCATGTAGAAACTGTGCCAAATTTACATACAGTCTTCTAGCATAAATAAAAAAGGCTATACTTTTAGTCACACCTCTTAATGCACTTTCTACCCACATTACAGAAAAATAAAACTTGCGAAATAGCGGGAAATCGTCTCGGTGACCACAATGCAAAAAAAGTAAAAGTTCTATGCGTGCATCTGACAAAGAAATCGAGATTTTGCAACCAAACAAGGGCAAATGAAAACACGATGTATTTTTTACCATCTCCCACGCAATCTTTCCTTACCTCCTCGATTCCACTAGTACTTTAAATGGCACAGTTGTTTTACGTAATATAAAGAATAAATCAACAATTTCTTTAAAGTAAAATGTAAAGAAATTACGACTGATTTAGATCTCGCTTTTACATTTAGCCTTAGGTACATACCTGTCAGTAATTGACAACCACCAACACGATTATACGGCAATATTCAGATAAACGCTCATTATAAAAAAAACTAAGCAAGGCATCCCGAAATATTATTCGGTCGATTAATACTTACGTAGCACTGGTTTCACGCTGTCATCGACCACATTTCACTACACCAAATACAAGACAATGAAAGCTAATTTTTATTTGATCACTAAGTTAAATATGATTATGTTGTATTTTAATACTGGAAAATCAAGTTAAAGTAGGCCTTATTTTGATCTACCATTCTTTGCACAACGAATCAAAAGAAACAAGAAAGAAGAGAGAACTGTCTGTCTGTCACTGATTTATTTCTCTAAGTCGCTAGATGTCATTGTACTAGGCTGCGTTCATATCAAATTTATTTCATAATCGATTTATTATAATCGGTATTTTCAAGAATATAGTTATAAAATATATTGTAAAATGATTACTGTGAAATGAAGGCAGGGCTATTCGTTTAGTTAGCCTCATTTAAAAACTACTGAAAAAGGAAAACAAATCAAATGTGTCAATATCACTTTCGTATGTATTTTCATTGATATTTTCCATTGACCTAAATATACTTGGACACGGCATACTCGTAATTTTAGCGTGCAAACTTATTCTTTATAGAACCATTTTTTACAATGCTTTTCCAGTAATCATGTAAAAAATTATAAATGGTATTTAAAATGTAATTATTTAATTATACTGTTACATATTTTACTATTTCACGTATCTAACTCGTATGTTATTTGATCTGAACTGTTTGCTATTTAAATCGAATTAAAGGGTTTTTAAAGTGATTTATTTTAGAGATAACTTGAAAGTAGATTTCTTTGGTATACGGTCATGTAACGAATAAGAGCGAAAAGTCAATAAGTTATTTTCAAATACTTAATAATAATTGCAATGTGTAACATTCTATATGTCTCTTAGTTTCTTTGTATTTGAACCTCCAGTCAAACTGCTATATGGCACATTAAAAAAAAGTTAAATCGCGATTCCCAAGTAAAACTATTTAATTACTCAAACTTAAAATGTGTGAGGAAATTAGAAAAGATTTGTTCCCCAGTCCAAAAGTATCCAATATTAATATCATATATAAGTGTCAATTTTCGATAAAACTGCTTTCAACTTCCATTTAGCTCTCCTGTAAAAGTTGTTAATTTTTGATAAGGAAGTTATTCGTAAGACCTGTCGAATTGTACTCCCTTGCTAACTATGACCTTAGTTATCATTAAGTTTTATTTGTTTTAATTGTTTAGCTGCAAGTATACCGACAAATAAATAAATGTCGTGTTATTTGTTTTTTGTTTCTATGCTTTAGTTTCAAAATTAAATAATATAAAATAAATAAAATAAGGTGAGTTTGCTATTGATACATTTTCTTCTATGGAAAATAAAAAGACATTTTTGTAACCATTTGTCATTAAGAATATCTTATTTCTTAATATTATTGGTCTATGATTTCAGTTGTGCTGTTAGGCCTAATTTAACAAGCATTAAAACTGAGTATTATATCTGACGTTTAAGAAAATAAAAATCATTATTTTTAATTTGAATTTGTACAATAATCAAAGTAATTGAAGTATTTTAATCCTTAGCCATTTTGACGTAATCATTTTTATTGTCAAATAATAATAAAATAATTCTTATTTACAAATAGCATAAACAATACACGATATACCTGTCCAGTGTATAAAAAACAGGTTCCGCGAGAATAGAAGTCAAACAAAGCCGAGGTTTTGTGGAAACAAGAATCGGAATCTGGGTAGCATAAACAGTCGAAAGATTAACAATATATTACAATAGGAAACGTTGACAATGTACGAAGTGCAAATTTCAACTTAAAACAAAAAAAATACGAGTCTTTGTACACGGCACTCATAGACGTATTATTGTTATTGGTAATAGTGTGTGTGTGGGCGGGACGTAGTAACAAACTCTGAAATAGACCATGTTCATGCAATCATTGCGAACTGCAAGAGCGCAAAAGTCCCTAATAATACAATTACTTTTCAATATTGTGATGTATCGCTTAAAATCCGAAAACATATGTATAAGCAATTTTTAGCCTGTTTTTATATTTTTAATTCCATAATTGTGCTTTATTCTTACATATGGCAACACTCCACTTGTGCTTTCCAACAGTACGCTTTGACAAAGAGCCTTGAAAGTCATAAAGGACTTGGTTTGCAACAGCTGTCCGTATGGTGGTTCATCATCAAAGTCATCTTGGTTGGAGCTCAGGGGTGTCCTATGAGGAAGTATTTCAAAAATAACATTAGTTTCCGAAATCTAACTAGATGCCGCCACGGTACATTCTTGGTTTATCCCTGACAACCTTTCCGGTTTTCTTTCATGTTTAAAAGTTAATTCGTTTTCAAAGCTCAATTAACAACGCATATTCTATTTGTACTTTTTCGTATTTGTATCGATATCTAAGTTTCGAACTTTTCAAATTTCATTTTTTTAATATGTTAGTTAATCGCAACGGAAATGATTGTCTTTGATCCATTCCTTTCCTGCAAGACTCTCTTGGTTTGATTTCTACTTTCGGGGACGCACGCAACGTGTGCGTCTTGATAACAAATCTTCTGATTGGTGCGACCTCGGTGCGGGTGTTCCTTAGGGTGCTGTTCTCTCACCTCCATTGTTTTTCATTTTCATTAACTCGGTTACTAAAGTTATATCTTGCAACTTCCACCTCTATGCAGACGACTTGCAGCTTTATCGACACTTTAAAATGGAAGATTGTAACTCGCCACTGGTAGATATTAATAACGATTTGGATCGCGTTAGTAGTACTTGGGCGAAATCGTTTGGCCTCATGCTTAACCCGAGTAAATCTCAGGCCATTGTGAGAGGCAGCAGGTTTAATATTAATTCTATATCTAAATTATCTTTACCACCAGTGCTTTTGGATCTCAAACTCAAATCCAGTTGACGGATACCGTAAAAAATCTTGGTATTACAATAGATTCAAATCTAGCATGGACTGCCCATGCATCTGAAGTTAGTCGTAAGACCTTTTTCTCATTTCACACACTTAAATGCCTTCAAAACTTTTTACCTTTTAAAACTAAATTTTTACTAGCACAGTCTTTAAGTTTGTTAATTTATTGCATATTGTCTGGGAAAAGGATCAATTTATATGTAAATATTGAGATATATGGAAAATGAAATATGTGTCAAAAATAACATTTACTTTGTAATAACGCGATGAATGATGTGTGATCTCAACTCAACCTAAATCAATAATTGATGATACAACCAACGTTTATTTGTTAACGGTACTGAATTTTGAACGCAATTATATCATCAAAATGGCGGCCAGGCTTTAGCAATTTGCGGGAATTAAACTACATCAACTGTGAAGATTTCAACTGTCTAACTATAGGTCTACCAGAATCTCATGGCATTTAAAGAAAATAAAAAATGTAAATTTCATATTGCAACACTCATGTCACCCACCAATCATTAAGTCACTTGGTTGTCATTCGTTGCTAAAATTTTGTTGGTGTCGTAAATATTTAATTATTTTATGAGAAAATGTCGAAAAATCCTCTTAAATCTAAAGCGAGGAATATTGTTTTCAATGTCTACAATAAAATTCGCAAATTTTAAATCGCGTCGTAGCTTTGACCGGTAAGTTGAACTGAGTAGTATTCCATTACCACTGTACGACGAATCCTATGTGAAGGCACATCAAATGATGGTGTATTTTCTATTCTTATCATCAAATGATGGTGTATTTTGGTGCCTGGTAAAAAGAGAAGAGGGGGAAAGAAAAGAATTAATTTAGATAGTTTTGATTTAGATTTGATTAGGAACAAAGTTAAAGAATTCTCTACAGTACGAAAAGAAATTCTAACAGTAACGAAAATTTTACAAATTCTTCGTAATGCTAGTAACTTCCACGAAGGGAGAGAATCACTAGGGTGAGGAACAATATCTGTGAAATACAAACTATGTGTAATAATTAATGTATTGTTTGAATAATATATAATATATATTGGGTTAGCACAAAAGTAATGAGACACACTAGAAAAATCTATAACATTTCCTTTTTAAAATCAATTTTTTCGATAATATTCTAGAATGTTGTAGAACATTCTAGGTACTTCTGGTGTAGGGTATATAAAGCCGCGCTCGCAATTTGTTTAGTCAGTTTGAAGAAAAATGGACGAGCGACAAGTTCGAACACTATACTTATACGAGTACTTGTTAGGCCACAGTGCGCGGGCTGCGGCTGACAATATCAACAATGCATTAGGCGCTGGAAGTACAAGCCATGCGACGGTGTCCCGATGGTTTGACCGTTTTAAATCAGTTGACAGGAGCCTTGAAAGTCGGCCACGCTCAGGGCGACCACCCGCAGTGAATGATGACGATTTGCGCCGCGAACTGCAGTTGAATCCGGATGCTACCACTCGTGAATTAGCGGAAGCACTTAAATGCAGTCACCATGCCGTGGAACACCATCTGCATGAGCTTGGTTATCGAAAAGGTTTGGCTCGGTGGATACCGCACATCCTTACAGACGCCAGTCGTGCAGTCCGTGTCGCTATCTGTCAGTCACTTTTGCTGCGACCCCGACTTAAAGAGTTTTTGTCAGATCTGGTTACTGGAGATGAATCATGGATTTATTACGAGAACGATACACGTCGTGCTTTTAAGCTGCCTCGAGAAGAAACGCCACCAACTCAACCGAAGCCGAGTCAAAAGAACCGCCTAAAAATTCTGCTTTGCTGTTTCTGGGATGCGCAAGGCATACTGTTTTATGAGCTATTACACAATGAAACTATAAACGCTGACAAATATTCAACCCAGCTTACCAAATTATCTGCCGCTATCAAGAAAAAACGACGAAGACGAGTCAATATAGTTTTACTGCACGATAACGCTCGACCTCACGTCGCATCTGTGGTTCGCCGGCAGTTGGAGAACTTGGGCTGAGAGACGATACCCCACCCACCTTATTCCCCAGACCTCGCCCCATCAGACTATCATTTGTTTAGAGCCATGAAATGAAAGGCATCCAAACTTTGCCGGATCGTTGGCAAGAAGTCTTAGATACTAATGGTAATTACATCATTGACTAAACTTTTTTTATTGTAATAATAATAAAAAAATAAAAACTTAAACCAAGTGTCTCATTACTGTTGTGCCAACCCGATACATAAATATCGTCATCAGCCTATTGTAGTCCACTACTGGACGTAGGCCTTCCCAGGACTTTTGGGGGATTTTGCCCGTAGTCACCACGCAGGGCAGGCGGGTTAGTGACCGCAGTGAATGATATATCATTTCGGACTG